GCAAAAGTAAATCATGTCAGATGCTTAATGAGTAAATAAAGCATGAGATAAGGAAAAGAGAAATACCCGTGTAGTGTCGTCACGTCAACAAGAGGCTCGATCCCTCAATCTCACCAGCTAGTAACGAAAGGAGTCCAAACCCTCGCCATCCTCGTTACTACCTCGCGAGAAAAATGTCAAGAGACAAGTCGGTAACAATCAAAGATATATGTACAAGTAAATCACAAATAAATAATTCACCCAAGTCTAGTGCCGAGGTATCGACTGCTCAATAAGAAGTGATTTGGAGGTGCCAAAGGAATCATCTCCTCGATAGGACCATACATCCCCTGATCGGTGATGGATATCGGTGGAGTAATGAACTCCGCGCACGCATCCTAAAAATTAAATCTGAGAAGCCAATACCTACTTGGGGACTATACATGAGGCAAATGCAGAAGATGAAGAATACCTCCTCTGCTCCCTCTAGCAACGCAGGTGGTAGAGCCAAGAGCGACATCAACGCCTCTATATAGCATAGCTCCGGATGGGCATGAGTCCACCAAGGTATGCCCTCTTGCGACCTACTCGCCAAGGTCCTCAATCTCGCGTTGTCAAACATGTGCTGAGGAGGGCGAACAGGAACAACAAAATCCTCCAAGGAGTACTGAATAGCCACTCTCTCAGCTAGATACACCGCAGCGTCATATGTCCCCTGGAAGTATAAACATTTAGCATAGTACTGCGCAACAAGCGCGGGAATGTCGAAATCAGCCCACGGCCGAAACTCTACGGCCGGCTCCTACAAAATGCATATTCATAAGATAAAATCCTACTAAAGGTACTAAAAGGCAAGTGTTCGAGGAACATACCATCCAAGAGAATCAACTTTCGAACGTGCCTAGTAGTAGTCGCATCACTGTGACGGCCTCCCCAACCGGCGTCAACAGGAAGCTCGCGAGGTGAAGGTCTTGTCGGCGCGAGAGACGAAAAATACTCGTAGAACCAGATTTATAAGGATAAAGAAATGTCAATAAATGCCAACAGAAATCTAGAGCTAGCTTTAATAAAGGAAATAAAGTGTACCTCTATGACTCTCTAAAATCTGGAAAGTGCGATATCTCCCTTGAAAGAGATGTGACGACTAGCAAGTCGCAGTCCAACTAGGAAGTCCGCGTAGGCCAAGCTGGCCGAATAATATGACCCGACCATGAGAAGGTCGTGAAGAGCAGGCAAGTAATAGAGTAGCAGTTGACTACCTCTGTCAGGCAAAAAGGTCCCTGACAGCAAGAAGAGAGCAAAGATGCTCACCCGCTGCTCTAGGGTGGTCGCGCTGTCTTGAAAAGCCTCCGCAAGCATGGACCGGCGAATGCACCTAGAGTTGAGATGCTTCAGCTTAGCCTCACTACGAGCCCAAATGGTAATAGGGCCAAACAGCTTCAGTACCTCTATAGAAAAGACGGAGATCTCGCTATTGAATGGAAGCGCGACCGAACTAAACTCCAATCACGTGATGAGACTGAAGTTAGTAGGGGTAACAGTCATGTCACCCTAGGGAAAATGGAAGGTTTTGGTGGTGTCCCAAAAGAACTCCACCAAAGCTCGGACCACGTAATGGCTTTTTCCGAAAGAATACATACCCCGAGTGGCTCGCAACAGAAGAGTCAACCCACAAGACTCCCACAGGAGGCGCAGGCCGTTATGGTCGCGAAAGTAAGTGTCGTACAAAGAGCCAATGGTCGTGTTGCTAGAACCATAGCTGCGAACTCTGCCGCTATCAATCCCACGCCGAACGCGCTCCGAAATATAAAACTCAGTCGCAAAATACAGAGTGCGCTTGTCATACTCTGGGAACGTCCCTAGTGAAGAACAGGTCCCTACGCCGGCATCAACATGATCGTCCTCCTGATGAGCCTCCCTAGAACAAGAACCAGAACCTCGCCGTCTAGCCATGATATATTATGCAAAATAACAGAAAATTAAGATTCTATAGCATCTAAGGTTTGCCTAGCTGCATGATACTATGTTCGCAAAAAACAGAGTATGTAGTACTAAAACAGAGTATAATATCAATTCAAGCATAAATAGATATTTTCAACAACCAAACAATTTCCTGCAATACTATGACAAATATTGTGACAAATTGGAAAAGAATGGCTAGAAAAAATACGAAGAACAAGTCACATTGTTCTCACGAACTCAAAGGGGTTTAACAATGTCAATTTCCTCATTTCTTCACCAAATTGAGTTAAACAAGTTTCAAAATGCTCTAAAGGTAATATATAAACATAATTAAGCACTATCAAGGCATAAGATTCAACAAATGGAGCAAATTAAGCACAATTGGGTTCAAAATTTTTGAAAACCTGCGGATGAACATGTTCAAATACAGCTAAAACCGAGTTAAGTTTGAGAAAAAATTACATGGATCGAGAAAGTAGATGAAATAAGCTTTGATTTGCAAGAATTTTGAGCGAATTTGGTGGACAAACGAGCAAGAACGAGCAATTTGAAGACTTTG